AACCCAGCACCTGGGTTCAAAGGAACCCAGCACCTGGGTTCAATCGAACCCTTCCTCTTCCTTGCCTTGCCTTGCCTTCTCCATCAATCAATTCTACTCATCTTCATACAACAATTCATCATCATCATCAAACAACCAAACCCAAAAAAAAAACAAAAAAAAAAAAACAAAAACAATTTTTTTTTTTTATTTTTTGCCTTTAAGTTCGATGAACCCGCACCTGTGTTCTTCAAACCCACACTTGGGTTCTTCGAACACGCGCCTGGGTTCTTTCGAAGAACTCAAGCGTGTTAGGTTCCTTCGAAGAACCCAAGCCTGTTGGGTTGATTCTTCGAAGGAACCCAAGCGTGTTGGGTTCTTCGAATCCAAGCTTGGGTTCCTTAAAAAAAACCAAGCGTGTTGGGTTCTTGAACCCAGCGGCAGCTATTGGTGTTTGCCCTCTACTCTTCTAGGGTTTGAATGGGAAGAAGGAGAAAAGATAGTGATTTTGGCAAGAGGTGAGCCCCACGTTTTTTTTCTTTGGCTGAAATCTGACGTGTTTTAATGACATGTTACCTTTTTTTCATGTGTATAGCTGATGTGTCATAATATTTTGACATGTCATCATTTCTCGTTAATTAACGGGACATATCATTGGATTTTTAACAAAAGGACCAAGTTGGGGCAAAATCGGTAAACAGTAGGGACTAAATCAAGAATTTGTTTAATTTAAGGACCAAATCGAGGGTCCATACAATAATTCAGGGACCAAAATAGGATTTTAACCTAAAAAATATGCTTTAAAAATTATCGAGAAATATTAATCTTGAAAAAATTAAAACTTGACCTAGAGTATTTTAATAGTAAATGCATAAAAAAAAACAAGAAGGCCCAACATTCAGTTATTTATTTTGCAATCTCAAACGTATCCACACAAATCAGCCGTTTCAACTCTAATTTCTCTTTGGCCCAAAAAAAAATAAAATTGGCTTTAGTCTCCTCTAATCCACCGAGTCTCTATCTCTTAAATTAAATAAACAACCTTTCTCTTTCTCTTTTGTTTTCCCCCGGGTAAGTCAAATATCCTTTCGTTAGCAGGACCTTTGGTATATAGTTCACACTTCCTTATGATCAGCTTCTCCTCGAGCACTCAGTTTTACATAATTCTTCCATCCCTAATCTAAACCCATATCCATCCTTGAAAGACCAAGGATATTAGTTTCCTTGATTTCAACTCCTTTTTAATGGAGGTCATAACACAAGCCTCAGAATCAAAACAACTAGTGATGGCCGGAAACAGTAGTGAACATGACCAAAAGTCCATCACCAAGAACCGCTACCTCCCTCTCTTGATCACCAACTATTTTTGCCTCTTCCTCGGCTCTGTATCCTCTACCTTGATCTCCAAGTACTATTTCCTCCACAAGGGATCCAGCCGTTGGGTCTCCACATGGGTCCAATCCGCCGGATTCCCCCTCCTTCTCTTCCCTATTTTCCTCCCTTGCTATCTCAAATGCACTCCAAGAAAACCCTTCACAAATTTCACCCCAAAACTGCTAATCCTTTCAATCTTAATAGGCCTCATGTTAGGCATAAACAACCTTCTCTTCTCTTGGGGAAACTCTTATCTACCCGTCTCGACTTCCTCTCTTCTTTTATCATCCCAATTGGTATTCAATCTCATTCTCTCTGTCATCATCGTCAAGCAGAGAGTCACCTTCACTAATCTAAACTGCGTGGTTTTGCTCACCCTCAGCTCTGTCCTCTTAGCCCTCAGCCCGGCACACGACCGAGCTGCGGGCCTAACCCGAGCCAAATACTTTGTAGGGTTTTTCTCCACCATAGGTGCAGGGCTGTTGTTTGCCCTGTATTTACCGATGATGGAGATGATATACAGGAAGGTTTACTGCTTCTCCATGGTCATGGAAATGCAGCTGGTAATGGAGGTGGCGGCAACGGTGCTGGCGACAGTGGGGGTGGTTTGGGATGGTGGGTTCAGGGAGCGCAGGGTGTTCGACAAGGGTGAGAGGGTCTACTGGGTAACGGTGGTGGGGAACGTGGTGACGTGGCAGCTGTGCTTTATGGGGACGGCTGGGATGGTGTTCCTGACGAGTTCGATAACGGGAGGGATTTGCATGACAGCGCTGCTGGCAATGAACGTGTTGGGAGGGGTTTTGGTTTTCGGGGATGAGTTTGGCGGCGTGAAGGCGGTGTCAACAGTGCTGTGTGGGTGGGGGTTTTGTTCATATGTGTACGGTATGTATGTTAAGATGAAGCTAGAGATAGATGAGAAAACTGAACCAGCTGGCAACAGTGACCATCAGGCGATGGAGATGGTACAGATTGTGACACCGGTGGCGGTAGACCATTGTGTCCGATAATGATAGTAGTTTTTCAAACTTATATTTTAATAATGTAATTTTTGTAAGAAAATTTCTAAAAATAAATTATGTTTTTAATATTAATATTAAGTAAATAATTTTAATTAAATAATTAATAAAATTAAAATATATTTAAGAAACAAACTAAAAGAACCATAAAGATAATTAGTCTTTCTACCAAAAATAATAATAATAATAATGATAATAAAGATAAT